TTATATTTGCAATCTTTCTTTTCTCTTTTTTCTTTTTTACTTTCAAAACTGAAATTCCAAAGCAAATTCCATACTTGTAATCTGACTGAAAAAGAAAGTGTTACTACATACCTGCTTTGCAAGGGTGTTTTCACTCATTTCAAGAGACTTTGCAAGAGTGGAACATTCCTGCTGCTTTGCTGTGAACTCTTCTGCACATTCTATAAGCATCTCCTTTAAATCCTGGAAAAAGATAAACAAAACTAAAAACTAAAACTATTAGGGTAGGGGACACACACACACACACAAAAAAACACACACATGTATACATCTAAAAGGTGTTTTATGATGTCAAGGAAGAGTATTTCTATAATACAGAAAACAGTGAAAAAAAGATAATAATAAAATTATCTACCTTAATTTCTTCATCCTGTTCTGCGATCAATGTCTTGTTTTCCTCAACTCTTCGCTTCAATTCTTCTACGACTAAATTCTCTGTAGTGATGGTCATGCTCAGTTTCCGCGATGCTTCCTGAAATTGTAAAGTTTACAGTCAATTTTTATATAAATGGTACTAATGCTTGCCTTCCCAATCTGAACTCTAATATTGTTCTATTTCCTTTTCTTTCTTGCTTCTTTCTCTCTCTCCAATCTACATACCTCTTATTGGCCTCACCAATAATTCATCTCTTTAATGTATTTTGCACTTAAATATCTATGATTTATTCTCCATGTACACATATTTTACATAAAACTACATTTTCTATCATAGCTTTCTTTAGCCAAGTTTGAGTTTTCAAAATACAGATTTCAATACAATGCAATACATATTCTGAATAAAACTTATTATTATTATTATTTCCTTTTTACATACATGCATACACACCACCTACCTGTGGTATGTATCTAGCGAACCATGAAACATCTCCATGTCCAACTTACCAATTCTTTATTAACTTTGTCAAAGCTGGCAGTAAGCTGTGCAAGCTGGAAAGTCAACCTGGAGTTCTCCTCTTGGGATCTTATCAGCAATTCACTTGTTTTCTTTTGCGAGGTCTTCAATGCCTCAACTTCATCTGCCATGAGTTTTTTCTCGGTTTCCAACTCTTCTATATATGTTGCTTGTTCCTTCAATCATATATACGAAAAAGTAATTGGCATGATTTCTAAAAATAATAACAATTAGAGGAAACATTGTTGAGTTTGATATTTTCAACTCTGGTTTCATATATTACAGCAGAAACAATTAAAACAAATTACACATGAAGCATTTTTTCATAAATAGTTCAGTCATTTAGTTTTCAACAACAGGACTAATGAGTCTCTTTGCATGATAAGCTAATATAAAAGATGAAATAAATGTCACAAACCTTACTCTTTGGATATTACACAATAAATGGAAATCACTCCACAAATATAGGCAGAATTTGGTTTACTATTTTCCAACTCATAATATATGACGAGATAACTTACATTTGTAAATTAAATGGTACTTCATACGATAGGGTAATCTATGGAACTGATTCGTATATCATTACATAAATGTTTGACTTGTGATGCTGATTCTCATAGTGATCTTTTAAATGTAAGTGATTTTGTACCATTAGATTAAATTTCTCAAAGTATAAAACATACAACATATAATTTCCAAAGTACCTGTCTAAACTAACACAACATATAAACATAAAAAGTACATTCTATTACTGACTTGGACTTTTTGTTCCTCTCGATGGAGCAGTATTGAAGACACGTACTCCTCATCTGGATCATCTTCTGGGCGGACACGCTTTCGGCTGTTAATTTTCTTGGCGGATTTCATAAGTGCATTGATCCTATAGTCTGTAAGTTCTTCAGACCGGGCCTGCTGATTCTTCAGGCGTTGACTAGAGGAAGCAAAAAGAAATCTTCAGTTTTCTGTTTTCCTCTATCTAATATTGCTATATTAAGTCAATGAATTTATGTTTGAATGATACTGTGCATTATAAATACATACATACACACACAAGCATACATACATAAATATCTATATCTATATATATATCGGTACAAGGGAATCAGAGGTAAACTCTTGGATAGGTGACTATTTCAGGAACTGATCAGCTAGAATCAGAATCCAAGGCCAAAGCACATGCCACTAGAAAAAAGAATGCCACAGGGTAGGGTCCTCAGTCCAACCCTCTTCAACAGCCTTATGTCCTGCATCCTCAACATTGTTTCTAGAAGGCTGTAAGATCACCTCTTATGTAGACAATCTTGCAATCACCTCCACTGATTGACAATACCTGAGAAGAGACCAGCACTGTCTGGACCTTGTGTCTGAGGAGTAGTCGAGGACAGGACTAAAGATTTCTGCAGCTAAATCAAAGCACATGGCTCTGTGACTTAATGCATATAAGTCTGTATCCTGAAAATGGAGCTAGAGTGGATTCAGGTCTGTCAATACCTTGGGGTATGGGTTGACCAGAAACTTTCCTTCTGCAAGGAGACCCAGTACATGGTTGACTGAACTAAGGCAAGACTATCTGTCATGAAAGCAATGAGTGAGGGAGACACAGGAGTAGGACACAAAGTACTAAGAGCATTCTATGTACAAGCCATCAATACTATTTTGGGCTATGCTTGTCACCCTCATTGCTACCAAGCCAAAACTAAAAGAAAAACTGGCGACAGACTAAAGTGAAGCTGCCAGGATCATTCTGGGTGCCCCCAGGCAGACCTCCTCATAGAGGCAAACTTTCTGCCCCTGGACTCCCAAATTGATCTAATGGCAGCATAGTTCCTTTTAAAGGTCATCCAGGCACCCCATAACACATACATGAGACAGAAAGCACTCAGACACTTATAGCAAGACAACTCCTGGCTCACTCGTACAGCCAAGGTATTAACCCGTAGCTGACGGGTGGCATGTACATATATGCCATGGCTATTGTGGACCAAAACACGGATGCCATCATATTATGCCCATTCCCGCGCCACTGGCTCATCGGATGGAATTTGTTTTTCTCTGATAGTAGATATTAGGCAATGGCACCTATAATGAAGGTAAACCTTCAAAATTTTAATATTTTTCTAAGTTATAGCAAAATAAAAACTTTTAGGTGCTAAATGTTGCTCGCAAATTACTGATCAAGCCAGGTGCAAACAGGGGAAACTTCCAATGCGCGCCAACAATCCTGTTATTATGTCAACTTGCCAAACATTTTTACCCATCGGCACTGGGTTAATATGCTATCGGCTTAAACAGAAACTACTTGTTAAGGGAATAGATTCCCCCCACCCAGAGTATTTTGAATCCCCACCATGGGCAAAGACCTGGTTCAAGTTCCCAGTATTATACATACACATACATATATACACACATACACATACATACATTTATACATACATACATATATATTTATGCATACATACAATATACATACATACATACATATAATATATATATATATATATATATATATATATATATATATATATATATATATATATATATATATATATATATATATATATATATATATATATACATACATACATACATACATATATATTATACATACATACATCTCTCTCTCTCTCTACACACACACACACACACACACATATACAAATATATATGCATATGTATTGGTCTACTTCTTGTGTCAGTAACCAAAATAATATATTCACCCTGACATTAGTTTTATACAGCTTCTTAGATTGATTGCGCTCCAGAATGATTTATCTATTTATCATTATTAAACGTCTGCGTCCAATGTTGTTGACAAATGATTTCCAATTAAGTCATGTAGAGATTTGCAAGTGAGTGAATCACAACAGCATCCGTTGATAACAGATATATGTACATTAATGGAGATAAAGATGTGCCTTGGCTAAATTTAAGACACTTTACTGCCTTAAATTTCAAAAAAATTATTTCAGACATTTTACGGATATACGGGAACGCCGTTAACCCAACAGGCTTTCCCTCACTGACAGCACACACATTGGTAATTTTAAAATATTCTGAACTCATTTTGTACATTTCACACCTTGTATGTAATTACATAATGCCTATAAATGTTTATATTACGAACATGGAATTGATTGTATTACGTTTATGTTGCATGTTTTTGTAGATTTATCTTACTCATCAACATTTAGCTGCATCTAAAACATGAACCACTTATTCTATTGTCTACCTACCTCCTTTTTTAAATTTAGGTGATTTGTTACAGCACTGATAACGATTTAGACATCTTTGAAATCTCTGCTAATAAACTTGAAACCCTGTTTGTCTACCTCATTGCCCTATATGTATGTATGCATATATTCATATGTAGGGACTGAGAAAAAAAAAAAAAAAAAAAAAAAAAGTAAGTCTCACCTCCAACTGTTTTCAATCTCTACGAGCTGCTGGGAAAACTCTGCGCAAAGTTCCTCTCTTATGCGCTCTTCCATTTCCACCTTTTCTTTGTGCTCTTTCATCAGTTCATCCTTTAAGCTGGAAATGAGTTGTACCAGTGCCTGTAATATAGATATAAATTACTTGGTTAACTATTTTATAAATACATTAACACTTACAAGGACTACAATATTTTCACTTTCATCAAATGAAGTTACAGGCTGAATCTTACACTAAGCCTCCTGTGCTGATGGTTTTCAAAGTGATCTGAATTAGGCCATCATTAATTTGTACTAGGTCAGTTGAAAACAAAGACATTTCTTGATCATAAAATATGAGTGCACTTTTTCTCCTTTTCAGAACCACTTATCTACTTGACATTAAAAAATGTAGTCCTGAGTTATAGTAGTTGGTTTTACCTTCATATATCACTCAGTTCTCGAAGAAGAAGAAGAAGAAGATAGAAAGAGAGGGAGGAAACATACATATATACATATTTCCTTAGTTATAGTATAATGGTTGTTCCCTCGCCAGTTACAGCACAACCATCGTCACCCCGTGTTTATGTTTACCACAGCTGATGTACTTGATGCAGCTACATCACCTTAGATTATTTACATATACCTAGATATCTTATACCAGAAAGTAATGTAGATGATGATGCACTAAAATGGAAAGAGGCTTTTGAGGATAATTAATTAACGTTATATTGCCACATTATGTATGCTTTATCATCCTACCTCATATCTTTCATCCTCATCCTCTTCCTCTTCCTTGACTGTCTCCATGACTTCATCATCTCCCTTTTCACTGGAAAAAAGGTCAAGAAGATGAACAACAAAGTCATTGTTTAAAAATCCTTAATAGAAGAAAAAGTGTACTTCACATAATACTATCACGGTATTCAAAATGTAAGAAACTATTTGATATTTCTTTTGAGATGAGAGAAAAACTATAAATTCTGAGTAGAATAAAAATTACCTTTCTCCAAAGGTCACTTCTCCTTCATCTTTTGCCCATGGAACAGATAAGCGTCCTGAACTATTGAAGGACTGGCGAATGAACTTTGAAAAGTGACTGTTGCGTTTAGGTATTTTAACCTGGCACTCTGATTCCTTAGCTTGGCTGATTGCTACCTGTTGTATGGAAATATAACAAAAGTTGTAAACAATGACAACCTGAACAGGATGGCTTACAATACTGTCAATATAATTAGTATAACAATTATTATTCTTTACCCATACCTGTTTAGCAATAGCAGAAAACTTCAAGACCTGAAGAGTCTCATCAAAAAGAAGAGGAGTTTTTGAGATGTTCACAATCATTGCAGCCTTTCCCCGTCCGAGGAAAAAACTCTGAAATAGCCGTGTCAATTTGCTGTCACGGTATGGGACGGGGACCTCACGCTTCTTGTTACCTTTCTGCATCTGGTTTCGCCTGTAAGCAACATTTCTCTAACAACAAAATGCTAAGTCAGTTTTTGGGTAAAGTATGGCAATGACAGGTATATATTAGTGGGCATGAGATGTCATCCTGGATGTAGACTTGTGATGTGATAAAATACCACTAGATGTCTGGAAATATTAATCATGAAAGACGTCACCCATTACCAATAAATCAAGCAAACTGTGCTTATATTTTTATAATCACTACTTCATTCTTTCTTCTAGTTCATTATCATTGTCAACAGAATATGAGGATGCCATTTTCATATTACTTAGTTCTGGCTACCGTATATGTGAAATGAAACAGATCTGACATGTATAACAAAAGTTTGTGTTACAGGTTCATATCCCTGTTCATAAAATGCAACAATAAACTGAGCCTTGCAATACAATACATACAATGCCTGTCATCCAGTGTGTCTGGATGCATTTGCACAAAGTGAAAGGATTACATGAGAGCCCTACTGATCTCCCTGACATTCACCTGTCGGTAACCTTCGAAAATTCTCTCTACAGTAATGTCAAAACTATGAACACATGAAAATGTAGGAAAAATGAGAGAATGCTTAGGCTTCAACAATGTCCTAATCTATTAATTGTGCAAATCCTCACATAATGTGGGTGTTCAATGACAAAAGGGGAAGGGAAGTCCTTTTCACAGGAAATGAGGCCTTTCCCAACAACAATAAAGACAGAATGAAAGTAAGAAAAAAATAAAAGAAAAGAAAGATAGAAAAAAGAAAAGAAAAAAAGTTGCAATCTATTTGTCTTTCACTTGCTCCTCCTTCCTCTTCCTAGCTCTTTCTCCCTCTTCCCCTATTACCTCTTCCATCCCTTCCACCTTTCCCTCTCCAATTCTTGATCTCAGGGTCTCACTGATAATTTTAGTTTCATCACAGTTCATTGTGTTTCTAAATACTGTTATGAATATATGACCCACTGATAGACCAGTTTTGGGAATCAGCAGATAGAAGCCTTGCTGAGTCCCCATCTGTTTTTACAGTAACACTAAAGATGTACACTAACATGACTGAAAGATGTTTAGCTGGCTTGAGTTAGTCATAGTGGAAGTTTTAAATCAACTAATGAAAGTTTCATAATCTCACATAATTTAATATTAGAATAGCAAGATGAATTTCTATGAGACTTATGAATAACCTTTGTACACTTAAAACATACACACACACTATAAACAAGTTGACTATCAGAAAACCATACCTTAAAGCCTCAATACACCGACTTAGCACAAGGAGAGAGGAGTTAATGTTTCCTGCCTCCTTTAGGCGGTCATGGCTTCCATGCGTCTTTCCTGCCCGCTCTGCACCAGCAAGGTCACACATTGACAACCTAAAAATACAGAATACAGTTACCCAAAATATTCTATGAGCATGATATGAGAGGCATGAATACTATAATTCTATCAAATATTCAAAATCACAGAACTTACATAGACACCCTCGCAACATGAGGATTCTGGGAATCAGCCATCCTGATCAGCTTAATTGTGAAGATGCAATGTGAACGAGATGAATTATGGTTTAGTCTGGTTGCAGCAAAATGAAGGTTTTGGCGACCAATCTCTAAAAGTTTCCAGGCCTCCTCAGCACTTCGGACTCTCACTTCCTGTAGGCCTATTAAAATCACACATTACAACTTAATACTTTTAAAAGTGAAAATGTCTCATACTACTGACTACTTAATTCAAATGGTAATCAATACAAAAAGAATAGATTTTTATACAACTTTTCTTACCTTTTACATAAATGGCACTATTCCTATCTTCTCCCAACATTAGTGGGTTACGTTTATTCTTTTTGCACGTTGGCATTTTCTCTAACAAGTCATAGATATATTCATTATAAATCTCAGCAAATGAGACAAAAATAGCATACACAGTGTTTTCTGAATTGTCCACCTCAAGAGCTGTATCATCCTGACATCGGTTATCAATGACAGATGAAACTGGAAAAAACAGGAAACAAATAATAGGAACAATGACAATTAGTATCTAGATATAATTTTGCTTTTGACTGAGGCAATCTGAAAGTACAAACCATATAAAATTTTCAAATACATGTTCATTTACAAATACTAATTTTGGTAGAAAATGAAGACTGATTTTTGGAGAAAGATCTCCTAGTTTATATGACAAATTGTGAAAAGGTGTTTTGAATCTAATATTGAATCTCACCTCTACTAATATCGCTGGCTGCTGATGGATCTGAGGTATTAAGAGAGCAGTCTCCAAAGGAAATTTTTGAAAGGCTCTGAAAAAATCAAATAATTACAGGATTACATTCTGCAAAATAAAAATATCCTCTACATATACATCTTAACAAAAGTTAATTTTAAGCATTCTCATTCTACTGGTAAACAGATATTTCACGACACATTTCATCCAATTCTGACCATAATTTAGTAATATCCATAACTGTCACATGCACAATAATAATAACCATTGTTGACTGAGAGAAAGTTGAGCCTAGATCAGAAGTTATCTTGAAGATTCTCTCTTTCTTCTCTTCTTCCTTTTTGATATCACTTTCTTCGAGGCGCGACACACCACAAAAATAGCGCGGTTTGAGGTCATTAGCTTCATACTGCTGCTCCCCTACTGTGTTGAAAAGCACCTCAAGAGCACGAGGTAAAATACCAGCATCATTAGGTGTACCTAGAAAGAAGGCCATATTTGTTAAATTACATTTTCTATGTTACAGAAGGCATATCTTCTGTGAATACCTTCTAGCTAAATGTGTGAACACACAGAACATATAATATGATCTCATTTTTAACTAATTGTTTTGATACTTTAAAAAATATGCTACAGTATTTCTGAACCCAGTATTAATTTATATCAACACCTGAAGAGGGAGGAGAAAATCAAATGCACAATGTATATTTAAGTACTACATAAATCCTCCTTTGGTAATTAAGAAATCAGAAACTAAGTTTAGATGGTGATAAAAAAGTTTTATTAATTCTTTGTACTGTATTCCAGTCAACATTTTTTTCTCAAAACTTTAGCATTTATATAATTTGATATCAAACTTATTTTTTAATGGGAACATAAAATAAAATTAAAAGTAAAAAATAATGTAATATTCTATGAAACCAAGTTTTGTTCATTACATCAGATTCTTACCCTGTACAGTAAACGTTTTCCCTGAGTTTGTTGCTCCATAAGTGAACAGTAAACAATTTTGTCCATTTATAAAATCCTTCACTAGTCCTAAGGTGGATCCATTAAATAACTCTTTCTGGTTTATGGTTGGCCCATAGATTTGAGAAAATGTGAACCTGAAATGAGATATAAAAAATCAATGGGATAAAATGCTTCATTGCAATCTATTATGCATTTCTCATTCACACAGCAATGAAACAAACTATTTTTCAAATTTAAAATCAAGCACACTTTTCATGTAGAGAAGCATATTTATTACCTAGATATCCTGATATAATTACACACATTTAAAGAATCATGGAAGTAAATTCTAAAAACAACAAACAAAACTAAGCAATTCAAATACAAGCTTCAGATCAGTATACTGACTGTTATGCACATTAACTAGCTTCCTAATATAAGATTTGCCAAAGAATATGGACATGTATTTGTGGGTGTAAAAACATATGATATATGAATATGTAGATCTAACCCCATGCCACTGGGAAAGTTTAGTGTTCATTGTACTCTTGTTTTGTGAAATGCCTGTACACAAAGATGGCTCCATAGGTGTTTAGCCACAAATTAGTCAATTAGTAGACCATGTGATCTCACCTGATTTCCCCCCCTTTTTGTTTTACTAATGCTATCACTATCAATCCTGTTATTATCATTATAAACATTATGATTAGCAAAATGCTATTGCCATTACTAAGTGCTACAAAATAAAAGAAAATATTTCTGAAAATCAAGGAAAGGGGTAAATGGGTGAGATAGCTGGTACTAGTAATTGGCTCACTGGTGACCCAGTACTGTAGTAGCCATGACCTGCAACTTGCACAGCTCTGCATACTTCCCAGGTTGGGCCACACCAGGTCTAACAGCCTAGTCCTTGCTCTCTCACCAGCAGGTGCTTCTCATGACTCACTACTAAGACCACACTGGTGCTCGGAGTGACACATCATTGCATTTCACTTGATCACTTGGCTCACTCACTGGAGGGGGAGTACATGTAACAGCCATGACCCACAACTTGCATAACTCAGCTGGACCCCATACTTCTCAAGCTGGGTCACACAGGTCCAACAGCCTTATCCTTGCTCTCTCACCAGCAGGCGCTTCTTGCAACTAATTGCCAAGACCTGACTAGTTGATCACGGACACCTTATGGTTCTCTGATTTGACCACAGGCTCCCCTCATTCCTGGTTAGCTGACACAGCTCAAGAATACTTAAACTTTGGGATCTGGAACCGAGATCACCAACTCATGATCCTCCAGAGCACCTCAGCAGCAGTAGCAACAAGGACTGCCCAGTCCTTACTGAACTGGGGAGCCTCTTTGGCTCCCCTGCAGACCTCCACTTCACTCACAACAACCAGCCATAACAATGGGAAGTCTCACCCACTCCAATTACTCTACAAAGAGAGAAACCATCACACAAGTGGTAGATGCACCTCATCTACTATAGCACTTATGGAACCATCTATGTGTAAAGACAATTAAGCTAAACTCACAGTGGACATGGCAGGTGTGTACACGCCATCCCCGGTGGCAATGGGTTAATAATGTTTCTAAATGTATTTTTCTTTACTATAATGTCTACAGTAATGAACTTACTTTTGACTGAGTTTTGTAATGCCATTTGTGCTATTCTTGAAAGTGTTTGAGGAAGCAGGGGCTGTAAGGATGATGCTGTGGTTGTCCAATATATCAACATGCGTATCCTGTAAAAAGGGAAAAATACTATAGATCGGCCCTGGGCAATATGTAGCCTTGTAAGCCTTTTTATTAAATCTAATCCTAGTTGAATTTGAGAGAGTGAGAGTGAGGGAGAGATTCCAAAACATATACCTCAGACCTTTCCCTTTTCCCCTTCGTTGAGCGGCTGGTAGTCCTGATAAAATTTGGAGAGAGAGAAGAGAGGGAGAGAGCAAGAGCGAGAGAGAAAGAGGGAGGGAGGGGGATGGGGTGAGGGAGAGAGCAAGATTGAGAGAGAGAGAGAGAGAGAGAGAAAGGGGGGGGGAGGAAGGGAGAGAGAGAGGAGAGAGAGAGGGAAGAGAGAGGGAGAGGAGAGAGGAGAGAGAAAAAAAGAGGGAGGAGAGAAGGAAGAGAGAGAGAGAGAGAGGGAAGATGAAAGAAGAGAGAGAGAGAGAGAGAGAGAGAGAGAGAGAGAGAAGAGAGAAGAGAGAGAGAGAGAAGAGAGAGAGAGAGAGAGAGAGAGAGAGAGAGAGAGAGAGAGAGAGAGAGAGAGAGAGAGAGAGAGAGAGAGAGAGAGAGAGAGAGAGAGAGAGAGAGAGAGAGAGAGAGAGAGAGAGAGAGAGAGAGAGAGAGAGAGAGAGAGAGAGAGAGAGAGAGAGAGAGAGAGAGAGAGAGAGAGAGAGAGAGAGAGAGAGAGAGAGAGAGAGAGAGAGAGAGAGAGAGAGAGAGAGAGAGAATACAAGCAAAGAAGGCAGGAATAGATTTGATAAATAAAATAAACTTTCATACCTCATTTGCTTGTTGTTCATCTCGCAGACTTGGTCTTACTCTCAGGTAAACTTTGAGATTCTCGACATCAACCTCCTCAATAGGGATGGATTGGAAGACATCATTCAGATTCTTACATGGATCAAACGTACTTGCCAAGTCTGGTACAAACCTGTAATTGAAGAATGACCATGTAATGAAATCAGAAACTTGCTTCTTCAAATAAAAGGAATGTAAGAATATATATAAGAATTCTTAATTGTGTTTTGTTATATAAATCCTATGGGGAAAGGTAGGGGTAGAAACCAGTTTTAGAAAAGCATACAATACAAGGGGAACACAACATAAAACTGATAAATCATGAAATTCTATGAAACTTTCTTCTGACATATTCGTCACTAACTGATGAAGTTACTGAAACCTAGTGATAATGTGCCAAGCAACTGTCGTGGCCTATGTCCCTTTGGCAAAAGAGGTGAAGGTGTATATGATCATGAAAGCTTTTCTAGGATTAGGCCTATCCTGTATCACATATGCAATATCAAAACTGATCAGTATGGACTCTAGAGTAACAAAGTCTACATACATATTCTACTGAGGGAAAGAAGACTCTGAGGAGATTTCATCAGAGTTAGATTTTTGTAAAGAGATTAGAAAAACTGGAGAGAAAACTTGAAACAATGTCCAAACAGAAAATAAGAAACATCAACTCACTCATAGTCACTGGCATGTAGATATGACAATCGATCTATTGCCCGGCTCATGTTTGCTGCAAAAGTGTTTGTAATCTCTGAAAAGAAAATGGTCTTAGAATAGATTATAAGCTGAGAAATACATTATTTATAATATCCCCCTCCCTCCTCTTCTTTTTTTTCCTCTTCCATAACATAAATCATGAATTAAAGTATTAGAGGACTGCTGGGGAAGATGGAACGCTAAATGTCATAAGGTCAGGGCTAGCTTTCCTTGCACTTAAGCAATACTGTGTGGTATAACAGTGAACTCCCAAACTACCAGGCTTTGATTCGGGAACAGGTGAATCCAGTTCAGCATACAATCCAGGTGTCAACCCAGTGTGAAGCGTGAGGGGCAGTCTCAGGGAACCCCGAATGCGGACAGTGAACCCTGTAGCATACTGCCCACCTTACTTGGGGAAATGCTGAGAAGGATGACAGTGGTGGTGCTCACTCTGAATGGACTGTCTGAAGTTAAACTTAAACAGTCTTAATGGGGGTAAGGAACATCCACTCTTTGCTACCACTATCAAAAGAAATGAAATAGCTAAAGGTGGAGGTGACTGCCCTCTCAGAGTTGAGAAGACCTGACAGCAGTAGCAGTAGTAAGCTTGACTTTGTATATCAATGGTTGGGACCCAGTAATAGTTACCGTCTCCCGAGTGAAGCCGCAGTATATTTTTGTATGTATGACTGTACAGCCTGTGTGTTAGGGGGGCTGGAGTGAGAGAGTGAGAGAGAGAGAGAGAGAGAGAGAGAGAGAGATATGCATTAAACAAATATATAATGTAAATGTAAATATAAAATCCAGGTACACATATCACTTGTTAGCAAAGAATATTTACAGATGAATTAGGCAATTCTTTACAGTGTGTATGCAGTTGTCAAAAACTCCTGAACTCCATGTCACAAAACTTATTCAACACTAAGTTGAAGCAACTGAGCACATTCTTCACCTTGGCATACATGGCAAGGGAGAGCTGAAACTCAGGAGTACTGAGTAGACTTAGGCAGGGGGATGCAGTTTTCACGATGTTTTTCTTATATCTATGGCATTACTATTTGTGTCTGGAGATTATTTCTTGTATAAATGACTACAACCTTTAGTCTTCTACAAGAATATCTTCAACCTATAGATGAACCATGAATTGTAGCACTTTTATGTGGTTTGCTTGATAGTTTAGTAACTGTTACATGATGACTGCACAAAGATATGGAAAATCTAATAACACGACTTAAATAATAGAAATAAACTACACAGAGATATAAGAAATAATCTTGGTAGGCGAAAAATATCAGAACTAAGGAAAATAACTCACGAAACTACTGCACAGAGACTAATGCCATCTTTACCAGTGGTAATTTGGGTGTCACGCGACACGACACCAAAAGCTGTCTTGTAATTGGAAGCAAGACCCGTTGTTTAGCTCCGCCCACTTCTGTGGCATAATGGGAATGGTCGTAGTTGGCAGCTAGTTGTTTTATTGTACTTGTTAATTTTTTTTGCGGGGTACATAGAATTTTAGAATATAGTATCCTAGATGATATCTTCTATTATGGTTGCACTGTATTATAGATGTCCAGTATAAGTACGAATATGCATAAAAATAACCGAGGTAGGAGGAACGCACCTGGCAGCTCGATAAATGTGTACCACCTGCTCGATTCCTGTAACCACGGAAAGAGGGATCAGGATGTCCACTGTGACTGGGTGGGGGGTTAGGGGCTAATTATTCCTCTCTATCTATCTTTAGGCCTTTAAGGTAGATTATGTGTATATTAATTGAGTAGCTTTCTTGTATGCGTTACCCACCAACAGGGGCTATATTTGGTTATTTACTATGAATTGTCCCTCTGAGTCTATTTAAAGGCCATCAGAGCAGAATCTTTCTTCAAGCACTTCTATCAATAGGCGTTAAACCATAAAAGCATATAGTCTGAGGACAAGCTGATGTTCTTGCCTCGTGATAGACAGACTAAATAGCGTAAATTAATTTTGACACTCAGAAGTAGTTATACAATACACAGATAGCTTAGTTATACACAAATTGCGAAAATTATAACTGCAGTCCCGTTTTACTCTACTATTTTCAACCTCTCTTTGATAATTTTATTTCATTTGTATATCTTATTATAGCTCGCACATACACAAAGTCTTGTGGCAATGTTCTAGCTCACCTTAATTCATCCGCGCTCGACATTCCATGATCCATACAGTTGGCAAAAACGACTTCGACTATGTACCTTCAATATGTCTGACCATTTGAGGTGGGTGTGTGAGTAATATAGTTAGCAACAAATATCTGCTGAGATTAGCGAAAATTTGTCTAGATTGTCATAGATCACGTGCAGACAGGGTTGTGTCTGTCTGTATCAGCACCATGATTTTAATCCGGGTGAGGCGCTGCTCCCTATGGTCATGGTCACGTCTATCCTACACGTAGCACAGATATGTACTTCGTGTTTATTATATAATCTCCTCTGGTATAATTGGAAGTGAGAGTAACGTGTAAACCTCTTACATGCAACAGCCCGCTAACACATCATACGGCTTACAACTACTTACACTCACAGAGTCGAGGACTCCGTAGTGAGTAATATGTACAAAAGCACTACAGTCCATCTCTATAGATATTAAATACCAATTCCGAGATACAAGAAAAGCATTCTGACATTCACTAAATTTGCTACAACAAGAAGCACACGTTAAGCCCGCCAGCGACCCTTTTTCTCGCAAAAAATGAATAATCTAATACGGACAAACAAAGTACTACAATAACACACGACCAGGCGTTCTTAGACCAAACTACGGACCATCTGTCGCGCACGTATGACACTCAGCTCGTCGGTAAAGTTGTGTGTACGTACGGGATAAGGAGGAGACACTTAATAACACAGCAAACGCGGTGCTTGAGCCTCTCCAAATTACCAAGTTATTCAGTATATTAGAGTGTAGCATAGTCAATGTTGAGAAACCTCAATATTTATCACGCTAGCTGGAATAAATAAGGTAGTTTTTTTTGAGAATAGGCGATGTTAATTGTATAAAATCTAGTTTGTTGCGGATTGTATAAGTTTTTCTAGTGTGTTAGTGGTTCCTTACGCCTTAGAGTTCTGCAGTATCAGGCTGGTTAATAACACGCAACATATACTCGCCACATCCATAGCGCCCATATAAGTCTCGCTCCCTCTCTGATATCCTGACGCAAGGCTTGTGAGGTAAAGATCTTTTAAATTTCAGACGTCTCTTAATTATTTATGGACATTCGTTCGGTCTGTAGGTGAGTTACGGACATGAGTGGATACACACTCGTGAAATCTGCTTTTTGGTTTAGCCAACAAGTGCCTCATGTACTAAGTTTAGTAGCTGAATCTAAATCATAAGAGCAGTACGCTATATAAATTAAATTAAAGTACTAACCATAATCATTGGCTTCATGCTACTTAAGGGTGAAGGAAAGAGAGTTGATATTTATGGCACTTGTTAGCTGTGTATAAACATGATCTGATCCGAACTGTATAAGTTGGTGAACTATATTTCATTTCAAGTGGAAAGGCCAGATCACTGTGTATAGCAGTTAGCTTCTGCACACGGACAGCGCAATGGAAATAGTATAATGCCCATATAGATATGGTCAAGAGAAACAGTGAGTAAATACTGGAATCCTTCGATTGCAAGTTCCTGACGGAACTATCTAAAGTATCCGTGGACCTTACATCTGCTCAGAAAGGTCTACGTGTTGGGATGTTACTCACAGTAATTCACATGGCTGGTACGTAAGTCATTCAGTTCATATCACTCTACCTAAGAGTTAAGGCTGTCATTTTTTGTGCGCTTTGAATCGTACAAAGGATGCCTTTATCTTTTTAACTGCACGTGAGATAATAGGTAATGTAATGAGTTGTTCAGAGTAAAGATATATCAGCATGCGCATCATAATTATGAAACCCTTTTGAGGTTTTAATTGTTAAATTGGAACTTAGAATAATGTATAGAAATCTTGATAGTAAGCATTAGAACATTACATTGAGGTCTTATGCTAATGAATCAGGAAGTTTAATCCCGTACGAGACTTCGGAATGATACTCATCTCAGATAGAGGTGTGTAAAGGAATATGACCAATTATTACAAATTATATCCTTGCTTAGTTGACAATTAATTCACTTTTTGGACCTAAAGCCTACAACAGCTCGTTATATTGGTGTACCATGCGATTTTTTATATTTACATTTACATTTATATTTGTTTAACCTGCATCTCTCTCTCTCTACGCGAGACAGTCTCCTCTCAGCCATCTCTCATTCTGCTCTCCTCTCTCGCCTCCTACCTCTCATCTCTCCCGTTCATATCTTTTCTCTGCTCTCTACTACTTCTCGTCTCTCATTCTCTTAGTACGGATCTGCTCTATCGTGACTCTCCTCTGCTCCCATACCCCCTGCCATCCTCCACTCTCTGTCTACACTCACTCACATGGTTCGCAAGCCAGCCAGGAGCCTAATACACGACGTGTGCTGATGATCAGAAGTGATACAATACAGGGAAGAATATTGGACCACTTTCATCTTATACGAGGACTTAAGAAATAAAACTAAGACGCAAAGTAGCTTTTAAGGCCTGTAGTGGCCTATACGATGACGTGAAGAATGTCCATTGCGCATATTGCTCAAGAAGACTAAGTCCACAACACGCCTCAACAGTCCGCAGAGTTCTAATGTCGCGTTTTTCCTATAGATTTGGCGCAAAGTCCCAACAAATAGGGGTACAGGGGCGTATGCCATCTTGTCGAGGGAATAAATAGAGGGTAGGAAAGGTTAGGCTGAGTGTTTGAGTTCTCATGATACTCATGATTCTCTGGACAAGATGATATACGCCCCTGTACCCCAATGGATTCTCTTGGTTTTGGGACTTTGCCTATGGCCATATGCTTAAAGAAACTTGCTGTATGTATTTCAGTTCGTTAGACAGTATATTTTTCCATGGACTGGGCTAGAACGAATCTTACATGACTGAAGGTAATTGATACACAAAGTGAAGTAACTTACTCCTATCTTTAGGCGACTGCTCAGAGTTCTCTAAGAAGTATATCATTGCTCTCTTATGCTCTATATCGTGTTCACTCTTGTTGAGTATACAGCGAGCTGAATTTGTTTCTTGAGCGGTTCCACTTTATTACTTACTAAGCGTTGTGTGCTATCAATAGTAGTGGATTCCATACTAGCTTTGATTTTTAGTGCATTGTGACTCATTGAGCGCTAGCTCTGGATATAAGTGTGGACGTTGTAGCTCTATGGTTAACAATTACCTATAAGTACTCGTACAGAGCTTATGAAAGAACTTCGTCTCTCAGACGAATTATATATTTGTTATATCTGAAGCGAGATCACCAGTTTCATTATGCTATAGAGCTGCTCGTGTCACACGAGCACAATATCTAGTCCTGCGTGTGGCCTCCACGAACTAAGCCTATGCTTTTATGGATGGTTTGGAACCTCTTATCTTCTTCTGCACTCCATGACAAGTTAGGCTCCATCTTGTCCTCCACTGCAAAGCTGGGGCCGAGCGAGGGCAACGCTGATGATCTAATCACTTGTCTACGCATTTTGTGTATGTAAGCAAATGTACTGGTTACCATGTATGAACCAGCAATACTCATGCGTTCAACATTTTAGGCTGGCCCTGTCATGTGAGTTTGTGTAACTCAATGGGTTGATTTTATCTGGATCTGATATTCTACGCTGTTTGGGTCCTCCAGATTATGAGGAATAAGCCTTATAGAGTGGTGTTCGCATCATAGGTAGTGGAGCGAGAGGAACCTTAATGCAGTGACGCTTAAATGAAAGTACATTATCGGATAAACGATAAAAAGAAGTCGAGAGGAGTTTTACACTTTGGCATGCTAGGCTAATGACGTTGAACAGGGCACGTAACGCCAGGGTTTCGCTTATACCGTGAGTTGTGACCGAGAAACTATAGCCTCTGTTTGTCATATGCTAGCTTCTCTCCTTGACCAAGTGCTATGATGGAGCATCCACAGCCTATGGCAGTTTCATAGATATGACACGCATTAATGTTCCCGTTATTATTAAAGTTAATGAAAATTTTATTCTCAGTCACTACTAGAGCTCAGAAAGTGATATTGTAGGTGCTGTATGGAATGGGCAGGGAACAGTTGTTTAAAAGTTATATAGGACACAGGTATTTATTTCTTGTTTAACGCCATATGGCGCCAGGGGAGGGGTGGTCGACGAATGTACCAATGCCATGGCGTTGTTGGACCAAACACCGGGGCTATCAATGCCATTAGGACATTTTCCAGATGCGCTACTGGCTCGTAACGGTACAGATGATTTGTTTTCTTCTCAGTTCCATTTAAGTATAGTCCGGCTTTCAATTTATTATGAGTAAAGAACTCATTTTTTTAGCTTTTAAGGTGCTTATTATTGTCGCTCGGGTCCAAAAGCAATACGGAATTGACCTCAAACGCACCGGGTATCAATGACCTCAGAAGGACAAACACATCTAGCGCAGTGCGGCGGCGCCAACAAGAATTCCGGGACGTCAGGGATTTAAGCTGTAAAAAATCTTGTACTAAAATTTTTACCACGTGCGCTCGAGATTGAGCGTATGAGTGAGTAAATGTATTTAGTTAAGAGCATTGGCTAGACTTTTCATTTATATATAAAGATTTATATATTCGTTAATAGTATTTGAGTAGCTCGTATATTGTGTATTTTCAAGTGAGTAATTGGTATCATCTCACTGCAAAAAAGAGTTTGCTCACATATATTAAAATGCAAAATACAATTCAGAACATAAATGAAGACTAAATCGAAAATTGTGGACTTAAAGAATAATCTCAATACAGTTTTGCTTGTTTGACAACCTTTCATGAAATTTCCAGAGTCTATATTGGATCACCAATTCTCACCGGGGTCCAATGGACCCAGTGAGTGGTAAAAACCCTGTTGCTTTTTAGTATCTCCTACCTCTATTGAGAATATGCTTAGTCGCTGAAAAATAGTGTTGTCAGTTATCATTGTTGTGTACGTCTCTAATGATTCCCAGTACTTTTTTGGAATCATGTGTATCCGTCACATATTGGCATTATATTTCAGTGAATAAATACATACCGGATAGGTCTTACCTAAATGAGAGCGTATTGATGTTTTTTAGAGTCAGCTCTTTCTAAGTGGTTATTCTTTATTTTATAACACTTTTCTACCCTTTTGAGTCCAAGGGATTCATATAGTCCAATATTTCTTGAACAGTTTGTTAAGTTGGTTACTACTATGATTATAATTACATCTAGGTTTTTAGTAATACTCTTACTATCAAGGGTGTTAGTATCCTGATCGAGGATGTAAGAACGAATGTCAATATAAGCTTAATAGAATTTTCATGATTTATCACTAGTGTTTAATGTTAGGAGAGTTTTTTTTTTATGATTTTTTTTTACCAAAGGTGTGTCTTAGCCTAACTTGGGTGCCATTAAATTTTGGTGGTGATCCCGTTATTGATCCGGATCCAGGATTTTTAAGAATGATTGCATAATTACCCCTATTGCCTTAGCAATAGGTGTACGTATTATTATTATTGTCACCTCTATTACCTTGGCCAAGTAGGTTATATTTACAGACGTCACCAGTGTTCATGAGAAAGAGGTTATTTTAATGTAATTCTTCAATTGTGAATATTTTTATTGCATTAGTGACCCTATTGCCATGGCAGAAATATGCGCTTCCTGAGTGCTTCTAGTTCCTTGTCACATCAGGAAACTTTCATACAAGGTCTTTCACACAAATATTTAGCTGAAAGATGTTTGTGTTTGGAAAGCTAGTGAGAGAATGAGTGAGGAAGGGAAGAAGTTCCCAGTTTCGTCAAGTACTGCAATAGCATTGACAGCTTGAGCAATTTAGAAAGTGTTGATTGACTGTTAATTGAATAAAACAGTTCCATAGACCAGAAAGATAACTCATTTATTATCATTTATTTAGTTCTATAGACCAGAATAGTAAGTTATTTATTTTAATTTATTTATTCAGGATTTAGTTTTAAAGATCAAGGGGGGCCATAAGAACTTTCTAAAAATATTTATCTCTATAGAGTAAATATCTTCAGTGTAATCTATTGATATAAATACTCCCCATACGATTCTTTAAAAAATGCATAGAACCAAGAGTGGAGTCTGCATAATAGCATTTCTGAATTGAAAAAGAAAAGTAAAGTTTTGCTATACAGACTTACTTAAGTTATGGAGTATATATTGTAGACCATAGGGGACTAAAATTATGAGACATAAGACAAAAGACTTGACAGTCCTAATTTGAAATATTGATTATTAAATTATTTACATAAACATAATGCCACATCAAATACTAACTGGCAGTCTGTCAGAAGACTCAACTTAGAAGGCTTCTTTGTGATCAGACTAGCAAAGGGCTTTAATGGTGACAAACTGAACCTACAGCATTTATTATTTATAGGTCAGTGGTAATTTCCTTTTTATTCCTTTTCTTTTTTTTAGCCCTTCATATATAATTCTTGTTGGATGATCCTGTATTAATAATATGCCTTATGAGTGGAATGGCTTTCGAGAATGACAATTTGGTCAAGTGTGACATATAATATATTGTTTTATCATTATACATATTTTTTCTTTTTACTTATAGGTCAAGATGGAACTCATTGAAACTCTTCTTAGCTTCTCTGAGAAAGCTGGTGAAATTGCTCGGACAATACGGAGAGAGCCAAAGCTTTTTTCTTTGTTGGTCGAGGAGAAAGGAGAAGAGGAGAAGAATCAAAGGTTTACACAAGACTTTAAGACCCTAGCAGATGTGCTTATCCAGGAAGCTCTCAGGCATCATGTTACACAAATGGTTGGTTGATATAAAGGATATCAAAGTGAAAATGATATTTTGCAAAATTATGGCAGATTGGTTATTTGAAAATACTTTGAAATTTGTAGATTTGTGTTTGAATTTCACATTTTTGTGAAGGGAAGTGCAAATGAAGAGTATTAGTTCTGTATAAGGAAAAATAGTAATAGTAATGAAAAAAACAACAAATAGTATGCATACATTAAGTCCTAATTTCCTACTTTTGGGATTAGACTCGGAGGTCTCAGTTTAACTATGCTTCTGCTTTAATTGGCTTTTAGTTATCTTGAGCACACGGCTTCTTATCTACTCTTCATGCATCTATCACGTAGCAAAATAATCCACAGAATATTTGTTGAGTCTTGTTTTCTTGGGTTTCTTTAGGCAAACTAAATGCAAGGCTACAACAATATCCAATTCTAGAATTTATATGCACTTTATGATAGAGTGTAAGTTTGAATTGTCGGAAGAAGGAATCAAGAAATTATTATCAAATTATTATTGGCTGAAGTATTTTTTATCTACTATATTTTTCATATCATTGGTATAGTGTGCGTTAAATTAAAGACTATGTTTTTTTATATACAGATTCTAATTTTGCATTATAATACAGATTCCATCACTTGGAGAACATGTACATGGGGAAGAGAGTGCTGAATTTACAAATACTCTTGGGGAACGGGTTATTGTCCAGATTTGTGCAACAAAAGAAGAGACAGCTACACTTCTTGAGAAGGTGAGAATATGAATATGATCATGTGGTTACATAGGGATATTGTTATTCCTAGCTTAAAAGAACAGCCTAAAATCCTTAAATTGTTGTCAGTCAATCAGAGACCTTGGCATTTATATATTAAATTTTTTTGCTTGTAAGGATACCTATTACAGCATATAGAATTTTAAGCTAATGTGACAGGATTGTCAAGTGCAAGACCTCAAGAGGAAGTATTTGTAAGACCTTTCATTACTTAATTTTTATTTTTAATTGATAAAGTGTTGTGTGGTTATAATCAATTGCAGGTTTTAGATGGCAACAGAGAAGCAGCAGACCTATTGGCAGCTGTTGTTCATACAGCTATTATTGTAAAACCTGACTCGACATTAGCAGCCAAGATACCGAAAATACCTCTGGATAACTTGGGTATATGGATTGATCCTATTGGTAAGTTGATGGCCATATTACTGACAGTAATGTACATATGAAAATACCGTGTGTGCTATTTTCATTGGATAAAGTAATACAACAGAAAAGTTTATATGAACATTACCAGACTTTTAAAATCGATGGCTTTTCATTGAGCATTCATCTTACTACGGAGAGATTTATAGTGGTGAATCTATTACGCACAAAATGTGTGACATGTCCAATAGGTAGTTACTATCAAGTGTCATCTATACATCAGAACCATTGAACATAGTGTACTTTCTAGAAGTAGGAGCAAATACAATCTTTGTTCTGTATCATTAAGCTTTTGATTATGGTGACAGCTTTATGACATCATTGTGGTAACCTGGTCAATCCCATTGCTGAATTTTGTTAATTGAGTAGATGCAGGGTTGGTCTTGTATCTGCCAGTTCTTCCTCCATAAGCCCAAGAACTGGTTTGGAGGAACTTTTGGTCCAGGGAGACTTCTATTGAATTTTGATAATTGTCTCCTCTTTCTTATAGGGTATTAGGCTAGTGACAGTCTCAGGATTCATTTTATACCTTGATGACCTTTTTTCTGGGTATTTCATAGGCAAGGGGTAAAATATGACCAATGTCTTACTTTTTAAATTGTCAGTTGCTCAAAGGTAAGTAATCAGAGGCAAGCATTTTTCTTTGCATTTTTTGAGTAGTCAGTGTAAAGGGAACTTGTTGCTTTTTCCATCCATCAAAATTCAATCTGTTTGAAAGGGAGAAAGACAGTGTTTATCTCTTTTTAAGAAGGGGCATTTTTCTAACATCAGTTTGAGTCTTGTTTTGATGATGATGGTTATTATTAGTATATTGTGATATCAAAAGAAGGTCCAGATCTGTAAATAGCTCTGCTGTGCACCTTTGGAAACAAATATATAGGTTAGAACTTGGAGTGTGTTTTATAGCATCTCTCTGTTTATGGATTACCTGATTACCTTGGATATTAATTGGATTTTAATATCAAAATATTTTTATTGTAAGATCTACACCTATGTGTGTATGAACCCGTTGTTGAATATTTAGAATGATAATCAAGTATACCTCATGACCTAACACTATTTGAAAATTAATTTCAAAACAGTGTGAGTTATTAGAATGATTTGAGGGTTATCAAGGGGATAAAGAGTAAAGGTGTTGGAATAATAAGATGATTAATGAAGCCAGTTTTATTTCAGATTCCACTGGTGAATATGTTCGAGGTGAGATTGGAAAGTTGAGTGGGAGCATATACAGCAGTGGACTTCCGAGTGTGACTATCCTCATTGGCTTTTACGACCGCTTTACTGGTGAAATTATAGGAGGTGTTGTTAATCATCCCTTTGCCGTGTATGATGAAGAAAACCAAAGGTATGTATCCTTTATTCTTAAGAAAATGATACATACTGTTGTCTGAGTATGACTAGTTGTTTGATTTTGCTATGTGTTTTTCTACATTTTATATTCCTTAGCAGATATTTACTCATGATTGATATGATTGATAATTTAATTTTCATAGCTTTACTTATATTTCATGGGCAGTGCTCCATGTGTTATGATTTGTAATTTTGTGATATTTTTTCTCTTGATAGTCATCAAATTTTTAATTTATTTAGTTAGCCTAAAGTGTATAGTGATATAGGGTATTTAATATTTCAACCTTCAAATGCTGAAATTTTGTTTTGCTACCTTTCAGTTGGCATGGGGAAGTTTACTGGAGTGTCAATTATAATGATGTTAAAGTCCACAATATGCAGATCCATAAACTTGCCTCTGATGCAACTCGTCCAGTAATAGTGATGTCATCAAGTGAAGATGTAAAAGTGCAGGAAATGCTTGGAAAGAAGTTTGACATTGTTTATGCTTCTGGTGCTGGATATAAACTTCTTGTTGTTGCACTTGGTCAAGTGGTGGCATATGTTTGCTCCAAAGTAAGTTTTATGTTTTTGGGTTTTCTTTTGTAAATTGTTTCATATATGGAGTTTTAGCAAACACACATCTGATACAAAAAAATCTTCGCTTCTCTTTTAGAGTTCAACTTTCCGATGGGACACAGCAGCACCACATGGTCTGCTGCAAGCCTTGGGAGGTGGTGTAGTAGTCTACAGGCAGTTATTAAGTTCAGCTGAAGATAATGTATGTAACCGATATTAGAATTTTCCTAGATAAACCAATACAGAAATTACTCTTTTGTTGATTTTAAGCATGCAACTTGGACAAATTTGATGTTCATAAGCAGTCATTATTGATAATGATTTACCCTCACTGATTAATAATACATTGACAATATTTCTTTTCTATGTTTCAGCATGTCTCAGAAGATATGTTGAAAAATATTCAGATAAAGTACAACAAGCCAAATGCTGATTCACCAAAAGCCAGCTTACAATGGAGCAATGCAGGAGGAATTGTGGCTTATAGGGACAATAAGGTATTACCAACCATTTTAGAATGTTTGAGAAACTCATAGATAAGAGTGTCTTTTATCTTTTTTGTAAAGAGTAAACAATAATTTGGTCATATGTAACCCTTTTGGTGTGCTGTCTGTGGTTATTGATGAACTTTGTGATATCCAGATTTGGTACCAGGATGCAAAATCTTGTACACTTTTGAATGGTATTATTTTAATTTTATCTTTTGAAATTATGCTGTTATTATTTTACCTTAGTTCATAAGATCGGATACCTATAACATTCATAGGAAATATGTTAATTCATTAAGGTTCTCAGTTATAAATGAAATATATTTCACTGCTTTTTCTTGTGTAAGATATGATATGCAGTGCAACTTTTTTTT